AGAATATACAAAACACGACAAAATGGACCGGTCGAGCCTAAAACGGACCTAAAAACCACAAAATAAAACACATAAAACACAATAAAATAAGGACAAAAACACAACAAACACTATTCAGGTGCAACTTGCCCCGTTTGACAGTGCAAAAGAGGCTTGGAGTTTTTTGCCTGCTCGATTTCAGACTACAGGTTTAGCTCACTATAACCAGCTTTGGAGCACCTTGCATTCACCAAGCAACAACCGGGTCAATCGGTCAATGAATTTCTTGCACAAGTTCAACCTATTCGGCATCGTCTCCGACAGGCTAAGATTAGTCCGGACCACCTTGATCTTATTCATATTTTGATGGCTCTTCGTCTAGAGTATGAAGCTGTTTGGGCTTCTCTCTTACATCGTCATCCACTGCCTACTCTTGATGCTGCTATTCAAGAGATCACTTTTGAAGAGACTCGTCTTCAGTTGGCCAGGACACCACAGCTTGAGTCTGCATTAGCTGTGCCTACTTCTGCTTTCGCTACATCACATCAGCCTCGGCCACCAGTCTCTGTTTATTGTGGGCGTTGCAAGAGCTCTGGTCACCCTTTTGCCGCTTGTCCTAAAGTGGAGTGCCACATCTGCCATGCTCGGGGTCATATTGCTCCGAATTGCCCATCCAAGTTACAACATTCGGAAGGTTCATCTTCTCGATATCGAGGGTCTCGTGGGTCTTCTTCATCGACCCCTTTATCTGTTACAGTGGCTGTCACTAATGAGCCTCAGCACTCGTCTTACTCTCTTCAAGATACTGAAGCCATTCTCAAACAGGTTATCCATTCCAATTCTGCTATGTCTGCTACTGCAGGTAATCCTCATTGGTACTTTGATTCTGGTTGTTGCAATCACATGACCTCTAGTCCACAGTTTTTGTCTTCCTCGTCCCCCGTAACTTCTTTACTTCCTATACATACTGCCAATGGTACCCATATGAATATTACTCACACTTGTTTGGTTTCTTCCCCCTCTTTACACCTTCCTGACACGTACTGCATTCCTGACTTGGCCTTGAATCTTATTTTTGTTGGTCAATTGGTTGAACAAAGTCTTAATGTTATATTTTCCTCTTCTGGTGTTCAGGTTCAGGATACACAGACGCGTTATAAGAATCGTGAATATTTTAATTATTTTAGTTATCACATCTAATTCTAAGTGTAGAATTATAAGTTTTAACTAATATGCATTGTTTTACTTTTTTATTTTTAGAAAAAAGATTATTGATGGTAATTTATTAAAGGCCCAATTAAAGCCTAAACTAATGGCCAACACCATCAAAAGCAAATAGGTGGCTTAAAATATTTGTTTCAGGCTATGGAGCGAAGCGAAAAAATCTCAATCGAGTGTCGGCGCGCTTTGATTGGGTTCTGAGTCTTTTCAGACGGGTTCCCGCTCGGCCGACTTTTCTAGATTTTTTGAGCCCCTATCCGTTGTCCGGACGAGACTTTGTTGTGAAAAACCTGTGGTCGGTGTATCCGTGCTGTCTTTTTCGTTCTAACAAGTTATTTCTTGAGGAATTTGCACTCCTTACTTCAAGCTATAATTTTTATTACATTTATACATTCTTTTATTCTTATTTATAAAATTACCTAAACAAGCTAAAATTATTTCAATTATACCTAACATATAATATGTAACTGTTATTACTTTTTTCTTTCTTATTAAATACTAATGAAATTATCAACGGAAATTAATATACACTTTATCTCTATCTATCTCTCTCTCTCTCTCTCTCTCTCTCTCTCTCTCTCTCTCTCTCTCTCTCTCTCTCTCTCTCTCTCTCTCTCTCTCCTCCCTCTCTCTTCGTTTTCTCTCTCCCTCTCCCCCTCTCTGTCTTCTTCTTTTTTTTTTCTTCTCCAACTACTATCATTACAAGCTTTGGAATTATAATTTCTCACAATCATACGATATTACTCACTCTGATGAAAGCACCGCCTTTCTCACAGAGGTCAACAACCAACACTTGGTCAGCCCCCACGTACCATACAAGCATCGCCTTGCCCCATTCAGCCCCCACGCCGCCTTCTCCTGCCTTTCTCACGAGCGACATTTTTTTATCTGATTATTTCAATGTTTATTCCATATTTATGTGTAGTTTATGTTTACTAGTGGAATTTGATATGAGACGAAAAATGAGATTTCTTTTTTTCGGTTGCTTATTTGTTTATGAATTTTGGAATATTCATTTTTTACGAAAACTTGGTGTGCTTGAATCTATTTTGATGAATAACTTGGTGTTATTTTGGTATTCATTTTTTTGTAGATAATAATTAGTTCAAGTTGGAGATCCTCGGCGATGGCTGCATGTGTTGTAGTGTTAATTAGTTCAAGTTTGGAATTGAAATTAGCGAAGAAAGAGATAGAGGCTGAGCAAGGTCAAAACATCCGAGTCCGTGAAGAAGAAGAAAATCATGACGGCTTTTTTTGAATTTTTTTCATTTGATTTTTTTTGGAGTATATGTATAGTATATGTACAGTATATGTTACGACAATATATGTTGGATGTTGCATATATAGACAAGCATTATATGTGGTGTGTATAGGGAGTATATGTTGAGTATATTAGATCTTTTTGTAAATTATTCGGTATATGTTGTGTATATAGAGAATATATGTTCAGTATATCAGAAGATTTTTTTGGCAACTTGTTATAATATGTTTATATACTTTTATGTATAAAAGTAAAAAAAAA